AAAAAAAAGGTCCTTCCCAGTAATTTGAAGCATACTGTTATTTTATGGCTCAGAAAAAAATGATGTATTGGAAGGTTTAGCAAAATAAGAAAGTAAGAAAGTTTTGGGTACTAGTTTAGTAGAGAATCGGTTGTTTAAGGTATAAAAACATTTTAATCATCTTTGTATAATTGTCTCAACACAGTACTTTCTGCTCAATTAATATATATGAGATTAAAATAACCTCCTAGTTACTGCTAAGGAAACTGGCATAAAGCATGTCATGTTGGTGGTTCCCTTGAGGTAAAGGTAGTATTCTGGGACACAATTCACTTTTAGGAGTTTATAAGATGAAGAAGATACCCAATGAAAAAGAAACTTTAATTAGCAGCTAAGGCATCTATAGAAAACCACATTCAGTGAGAGAAATACTATGTGGGTTACCAGTGTCTATAACTGGTCACATTAACAGAAGAATTAGGGTTAATTCTTTATGAAAATTCATTCAGAGAAAATTATACCTGTTACCACCCCAAAAAAACCTTTAAAGCCATACTGTACAGGGAAAATAAGAACATTCTGGACTCAGAGACCAGAAAACTAAATTTTAATTCTGGCTCTGACACTTTCTCTACCTTTAAGATCTAAGACTAGTCAGTTTTTCTCTCTGAACCTCAGATACTTTTGGAAAATTTATTCACAGGATTGTTCTGAGTTTTAAATGAGATAGTGTAGCCATTTTTAAAACTAAAAAATATATACTTATATTAATTCTTAGTATTAATTTGATTCTTATATTTTAAAACTCCGTATTTTATTTTTATTTTTTTAATATATCTGTATTGATTTCAGAGAGAAGAAAGGAGAGGGAGAGAGAGAGATAGATACATCAATGATGAGAGAGTCATTGATCAGCTGCCTCCTGCACGCCCCCGACTGGGGATCGAGCCGGCAACCCGGGCATGTGCCCTGACAGGGAATCGGACCCCTATCGCCTGGATTCTAGGTTGATGCTTAACCGCTGAGCCACGCCTGGCAGGGCTCCATCATATTTTAGACAAGAAAAATATTTTACTGGATGACACTGGCTTTTCATCAAGCCATTTCTTGGGCATAAAAAGGCAGATTGTTTATATATGTGAAAACCCACATGTTAAATCTAATTAGTCTTCTTTTGCTCAAGACTTTAAAAATATTTACAATAATAAAACTACCACCTCCTTGAGTTAAGCATCCTTTCAGTAAATAGGTTTGTTAGAGCACATGCCTATTAAGCAAAAGCTGTGTTTTCAGACATTCCTAATGCCAATCTTCTCTCAAATATCTTGTCACAGACTGCTTAACACAAACCACCATGAAAGCCACTAGACTAACAATCAGGAAAATAGATACAAGTTACACGAGTCTCAAGAAACACATTTCACAAGAATTTTGAGACATTTTTCTCTTTTATCAAAATATTAGCTTCTCTATATATAACAATGTGGTCTACACATAAACATCTTATTTATCATTAGAATGCCTATTTTTCATTAAAAAAACAGCTGTCAGAATTACATTAAGCAATTTTTAACTTTTTATATGTTGATTTATGCAAACCCAAAGTCAGCTTATTTGATGTTTTCATTCCAAGTAAGTAGAAATTTGTGTAGGAGTTACTGTAGTGCTGTGCTTAATTTTAATTTTAAAAACCTAGGAGTGTACATATTTCCAGAAAATTAAAACTCTCAACTTTCTCTATTTACAATATTTATTGAATATTAAAAAGCAAATTTAATAATAATTATTTTTTACTTTTTATGATAGTCTACAAAAATTATGATCTGAAATGAAAACTGTCATCTTAAAAACTGTAAGGCTGTGCCCATATTCACTATAGTAGATCGTGGGGGCAGAGATTAAAGACCACGTAAGAAGAGACAGGGCCAGGCCATCTGGGTAAGAGTTCTCGTGCATTATCGTGCTTGTCTACCTGGATGTGGCCCTTTGACTCTCAGAAAAATTTCTGCAACCTATTATTAATCCACTTAAAATTCCATTCTGGCTATCTCCCTTGGCGTATTCATACATAATCTACTGGGACAGATGGCAAAGAAGAATGATTATTCTTCCCCAGGTGGTTTCTCCTCGATTGATTATAAACTTATTAAGACAGTCTTATTTTTATGTCCCCCAGTGCTTAACACAATAAATGTAACATAGGAAATGTCTAATAAATATTTGTTCAATTAAACTTAGAAATGTCATAAATTCACAGAGGATGCACAAAGGACCCTAAAACTTAGTCTGTGATAAGGAGTCATAGCAAACACGCAGAACATAAGGATGCATTTCTTTGAGAGGCATTTCAAAGAACTAAATATTAGCCAGACAGAAGACTGTTCCAGGCAGAGGGAATCCTATGACCAATAGGAAGAAGAGTATGGCACGTTCAAAAAACAGAATAGGATGCATGCAATGAGGCAGGACGGCACAATGGGGGCATGTCATACATGAATAATGAGAAAACTGGAAAGGTAAGGGGGGGCCAGACTGAGAAGAGTCTAGGAGCCAAAGACTGTGATCTTTATCCTGAAAGTAGTAAGACTTATTACAGGAATTAAAACAGGGGATGGCAAGATCACATTCACTTTTAGAGAAATACCACTGGTAGAAATGCAGAGGGTTGACTAAAGGGTGGAAATGAGACCAATTTGAAGGCAATAAGAAATATGATCCTGAACTAAGAGAGTGAAATGAAGAAAACTTATATTAAAGAAATATGTAAGTTACAGAAGTATTAGAACTTCATGTCTATTTCATATAGCAGGGCAAGAAGAAGAAAAAGGAAGTAGTAATAGTAGTAATACACAACTATAACATTTACTGAGCACTTATGTGCCACACAATATTGCAAGCACTCTACAGTATTCACTATTAATCCTCATTACAATGGTAAAAGTATGTCCAAACACGCCTACTTTGTAGACAGCCGGGGAATGAGGATTAAAGTAGGCTCTGAAGATACAGGATGGAGGAAGAAGGAAGAGGCCGTATCAGCCAAAGGTAGGACGATAAAAGGAGTGGGGAAAGTACACATAAGGCTGATGAACTAAACAGTCAGCTTGTACGACAGGAGAGTGGCTAGAAAGTTTGATTGGGTTCAACTTATGAAAGGTCTTAAATATAAGTTCCTAATTTTCAAGGCAGTAGAAAAACTATCAAAGACTTAGAAAAGAGGGGTGATTTGTACATAACTTTAATTGAGCATTTACCCCTGTATAGGTACTAGGGTTATAGAGACAAGATCCGCACCTATTAGTATACCTACCAAAATGTCTTCAGGGTTCTAGAAATTAATGTGTCCAGAATTAAACTCCTATTTCCCTTTAATCCTCTTGTGGCCTCCTTTACCCCCTTCCTCCATTCTCAATTCTAATTAATGCCACTGTACCCACCCAGTTACCCAAGACAACAGAATGCTGAAGAGGCGAGGCTCCAGAATCAGACTGCCCAGGATCTAATCTGTCTACTCTCCTTTAAGTCTCAGCTAGAATACATCATCCTCTGGATTTCCATGACTCCCAAAACTAAATATGCAACTCCTCTGGAACCCCACAATCCCTGTCACATCTCTGATCAAACTGGACTGTACCTATCTGTATCTCTGTCTGTCTGCCCATCAAACTAGAAGCCCTTAGAGGTCAGAAACCAGGCTGACTCATCTCTGGTTCTGAGGCACTGGCAAGCACAGGGACAAGCAAACAGGAGGCTTCAAGATATGAGCCCAGACAGTGTGACTCTAGGGCCACTATCTCCAGGATCACTAGGTGGGTGGCAATGTCATTAACTAAGACTGAGAATATAGGAGAGGGAGAATTAGATAGAAGGGACGAGAAATTAAAGGGTCATATGGGTTTAGTTTTGGACACATTAATTGCAAGGTTAACTGTAGATCATATAGGTAAATGATCTAATCAACAGGGATCTGTCTTATTCATCTCTATAGCCCTGATATCTAGTAAGAGATAAATGCTTAATTAAGTATATGAGCAAATCACTCCGTTCAGAACTTCAGGTAGCTTTCATATAACCTACAGAACAGAATCTGAACTCACAAGGTAAACCCAAACTTTATAACTGTATTTTTTACTGCTTTCTTGCACAAGCCTTCTACGTTAGCTTCCTAATTGGGCTTAATCCGTATCCTTTTCTTCCTGCCTAAATGCCTTACGAGCTAATATGATGAACTGCTTCTCCTTTCCTCTTCTACCTTCGAGATCTACCATAAATCCCCATTCCTTCAAAAAGTTTTTCCAGACCACCTTGGTTAAATAATCTCACTATCCAACACTCCAAATATAATGCTCACAAGTTAACCCATGAAGGCCGTGAAAGATTCAAATAGTTCTTCCAGAATCGGAAACATTATGCTGTGTCCTGGCTTTTTTATGCAGTCAATACATATCAATAAACAGCGAAAGAGTCCCAGTCCAAAGGAATTACATTTTCCCTCTCAAAAAAAAAAAAAAAAGAAAAAGGAAGAAAGAAAAAACGTCCTTTGACAATTCAGAGGCTGGTAAATACTGAACTAGAGAATTACCTCCTTATATGTAAATAAGAAACCATCTTATGCAGATACTGCAGTTACAAGTTGCTGGCCCTAAGAGAGATATTTCTCAATTCTCTAATTATAAATAGTTTTTAAAATGCCTCAAAAGCCCACATTTCAAATCCTCATTAGAGTCCCAGCTCATTATACCCCTTTGTGGTGGAAAAAAAAATTTAAAGAAAAATAAATAAATATATCAAAACTCTTTACATAGTCCACAAAGCAAGAAAGTGAATTTTCAGGTTGGCACGCCAAAACTGTTTCAACATTAACTTCAAACTAGTGAGAAAGGGCTTTGCTTATGTGAATTGGCTATAGCAAAAGGGGATAAAAAGATACTAAATAAGCTTCAATATACAAATGACTGAAACTGAGGGCGTGAAATAGCATTAGGAATACTGGCCCATTAAAAACTCCACACTAAGAAACAAAGCCATTTGTGTGACAGTTGGGAAACATGACAGGTTAGCAGGAAGACAATTTCCTATCGAATCAGTATCCTAATTTATAGATAGTGGAAAATGTAAAACATGCACTTTATATGCATAAACATTGTTGGTCGACGCTAGTGTCCAAACCTCCAGATTTTTTTCAATTCATCCTTCCTCCCCTTCTCCCACAAGTAATGCCCTTTGACCAGCAGCTGGGAAGTCTCATTTTAAGTGATCAGCATTCCTCTGACATTCTAAGAAGTTGGACTATTTGTTTCCATAGAAACAGCTTTTTCAGCCAACACAAGATTCAGGCCAAGAATAGTGAAAAGAACTTACATTATGCAAATTGGAAAGATTTTGTCTACTATTCTCTTAGTTTCTCTTCTCTGGTTTTTCAGAAACAGCTTTCTTACTCTGTAAAACAGAAAAGAGACAATCAAGTATAAAAGTCTGCAGTGCTTTTTAGAGAGAGGGAGTGGGAGGGAAAGGTTAATTCAATATGATATCCAATTCTGTTTGCAGATGACTACGATTTCTTAGAATAAAGTAGTAAAAAGGCAACCCCTTCCTATCTCTACTGGACAAACATTAAAATCAATATAAATTACCTGAAATCAATGATGAGAAAGAGGTAAACATAACTGGTTTAAAAAGTTTTTAAAAAGGCTAAGATCCTTTTGCAGATTATTATTATTTTAAAGAACATACTTTTTTAAAACTTGATCTTAGAGGGAGAAATAAAAAGAGATAGAGATAGAGATAGAGACAGAGACAGAAACAAAGACAGAGATAGAGAGATAGAAACACCGATGTGAGAGAGAACATAGATCAACTAGGGATTAAACCCACAACCTGGGTATGTGCCTTGACCGGGAATCTAACCAGTCCCTCTTGGTGTACAGGACAACGCTCCAACCGAACCACACAGGCCAGGGCTTGCAGATTATTTTTCATGATAAATTTGATCTCTAGGTTAAGGCCCAAACAAAAATGCAGTTTTTTGCTTTGTTCTTTGCTTTAACTACAATTTCTGGATCAATTTTAAACATTAAGAATAGTTTATGATACCAATAAGTTTAGAAAATTGCCTTACACTGTATACTGGAACCTGAGTGAGAAAGCAAGCCCAATTTTAGTAATATATTCCAGCATATGATATATTCCCCACCATCAAATGCTTACAAGGTAGTCGAGACACAAAACATGCATATAAAATAAAGAGTGGCCCAAATAAGGAGAGACTAAAAATATGTATAGACAAACATATTTAATGACTCTGCTTGCTAAATATCAGTGCTACTACACTTAATATAGTTAATCCTCAAAAAATCCTACAAGTTTAAGTACTTTTATTATTCCCAATGACAATTGAGAAGACAGGTTTAAAGAAGCAAAGATTTTGCCCAAAGAGTACCTCAAAATAAACATTCAACAGTTATAATAGGTACCCTTGTGTATATGGTTTCACACTCATTATATCGTGATTCTTTCAACACCTTTGTATGGTATTTTACAGAGGACAAGAGTATAATGATTATTCAAATGGTTTGTTTTCTTAATTTATTTTACTTTTTATTTTACTGGTTTGAGTAAGCAATGACGGTGACAGTGGTTAATAGTAGAAGTAAAAGCAACAGCATTACTTGCCAAGCAGAGTGCCAAGAATTTCGCATATATCATCTCATTAAATCCTTTCAACTCCTCAAAGTTATCCTGTTTACAGAAGTGGAAAACAAATATAGAGAGGTGAAGTTGCTTCCCAAGGTCATAAATCTAAGTGGCAGAGCCAAGACTCATACCATGTCTGTATGATTTCAGAACAGAAGCTCTTCACTCTTACCATTATTTTTATTTAGTCTTATCTAATACTAAGTGAAGAGAAAGAAAAACTATTGATTATGATGATTCTCAGTTCAGTGTTTTGAAGTGTACCTTCCTAAGATTTCCCTTCACTGGTCCACAGATATTCTCTCTTTTAAACAATGAAATTCTATGAAAAACACATTTGCAAATCCAAATACCTAATAGCCTCTTCTTGTCTTTTTATGCTTAAAATTTAGCTTAGGTGGTAAGTATTCCCAGGGACCAATGGGACTGCATAACGAATCACCATTCACTGTTTTCCTTTACAAAGCTGGATATTGTTATAGTAGTACCTTGCAATATAAAGAAGAGTTGAGAGAACAAGAAATCACTTATAAAAAACACATAATTAAGCTCCCTATATATTATAGGTAACATTCTCTGAAAAGTATTATTGTTATTTTTTTAATTCAGTGGGCAATTCTCCATTTCCTTATATCAAACACAAAGTTGAAGCTCACTGGAGATATTCAAGACCATACACTCATAGGAATTGGTTAAAAGCCAAAGAGTATCAAAGATATCAAGTGGTTGGTTACTTGAACTGCCCCATTATCACCTTCAACAACTTCATAATAAAAGATTAAATGAATTCAAAAGGTTAGTAAAGTTTTTTTTAAAAAGACACTAGGACAAACATTTCAAAGAGACTATAACATTTAAAACTGGATTTTTTAATATGTGGAACCAAGTTCTGCATTGCTAACAATGAAGAGTACATATGGCCTCATTGGAGAACAAGAACAGTCTTGCTAAGGAACAGGGCCAATGTAAGAGATAGACGATAAAGCCACAGCTGACTCTGAGTGCTAAGCTAAATTGTTTAAATTTCTCCTGTAAGCAATGGGAGACTATGGGTTTGAGTTAAAAACCACCACCAAAAATGGCTTTTTAGAAAGTTAAATTTACTCTACACTGTAACCAGAGTTGACCAGAGGAAATATAAGTAGAGTAGCCAGGAGAGACAATGTTTTAATACTTTATGCATGGGAAGATAAAGGAAGTAGCAGAAGGAATGAAAAGGGGTAATTTCAAACAATGGTTACTACAAAGGATGATTTGAGAAGATTCAGAGATCAGGAGCCAACTATAATTCTAAAATATTGAGCATGACAATTGAACCCTGGAGAAATTATAGAACCTTAAAAGAGAATAATTCAGGGAATATACTTTCTGGGAGGGAGAGAAGGAAAATGGGGAGAACTGGAAAGATGATAAATTCCATTTTAGAAGTATTGCATTTAATGAGTAAGAACATTGAGCCCTAGCCGGTTTTGCTGAGCGGTTAGAGCGTTGGCCATGGAATGAAGGGTCCTGGGTTCGATTCCAGCCAAGGGCATGTACCTTGGTTGTAGGCTCGATCCCCACCCCAGTTGGGGTGTGTGCAGGAGGGAGCCAATTGATGTGTCTTTCTCACACTGATGTTTCCCTCTCTTTCTCTCTCCTTCCACTCTCTTGAAAAGCAATGGAAAAAAATACCCTCAGGTGAGGATTTAAAAAAATAATAAAGTGAGAACACTGACAGGTTGTTAATTGCTAGGCAGGAAAACCAGAGAGCAGGTCAGAAATTAAAATTTGTAATTTACATATTCATATCTTATACTTGTAAAGCTTTTCAGTGTCTAAGGTAAATTCAAACACATCATACTTGATCCCCACAGTTGCTCTTAAAAATAAGCAGGCCAGATATCCCCATTTTGCAGAAGAAATGTAGGCACTGCAAGTCACAGAGCTAGATATTAATAGAACAGGAACTAAAATCCAGATCAGTGAATCCTTGTGTGGATCTGGTGCTATGTTAGTTACATCTCCATAAGATGATACCATACTGACTACAGACCTCTTTTCAGAAATCACATAATTACAGTTGACCCTGAACAACAAGGGTTTCAACTGAGCAGTGCCAATTATATGCAGATTGTTTTCAATAAACACCTGTACTGTTTTTGATTGGCAGCTGGGAGTCCCTGGATGCAGAGGGCAGACTGCATGTATTGACCTACACTATTTTATAGAAGGAACTGGAGCACCTGAGGATTTGGGTATCCATGGGGGTACTGGAACCAATCCCCTGGGTATACTAAGGGACAACTTAAGTTTATGGGAAATAAAAAGTCACACAAGGATTTTTTGACCAGGCTGTGTGTGTGTGTGTGTGTGTGTGTGTGTGTGTGTGTGTCAATACCCCTAACTCCTGCATTGTTCAAGGGTCAACTGCATGTCATTCTTTTACCTTTAAAATATGTTAAGAGAAAATTCATATTTTCTCAGCTTCTTGCTTCATAAAATAAATGTTACTACAATATTTCACTGTTATATATGTTAACAAACTACAAGTTTACTATAGTACCAGGTTGCAGTAGCATGACATCTATTGCTGGAAGTTTCTAAATATTCAAGTACTCCAGTGGAGAAATGGTAGAATGCATGTCAATTTTCCTACTAATCTGAAAAGTGAAATTAAGTTACCAACATTTCAGGTTCCTGGTAACATTTAAAAAATGTAATTATTCTGAATTGCTCCAATTTTGGTATGTGTTGTCAAAGTGAGCCACATGTCCTACCTTGACAGTTCAATAAAATATTAATTTATACCTTAAAAAATTAGTACCATAAAACTATAATAGACTAGCTCCTGTCAGGTAAATCAGCTATCTCCTGGGGTCAAATTTACATATTCAAAAATCATAATTATAATATCCCTAAATATGTTAATAACTTATTATATCAACTCCCATCAATTCTCCCTCCTTAACATTTCATATATCCCCGTTTCTCCTTTTTCATACCACTACTTTAAATCATATACACAGTATTTCTTTCATGGATTTTTCTATGAACTTGACAGTCTCCCGACCTGGATCTTTCTAGTTGCCAATCATTTTACACAGTACTGCCAGATTCTTTCCTAAGGCACACAATTATACCCACAGTCTCCCTTTCCAAAATGTTTTGTTGCCTTTCCCTTCGCTTAAGCTACTGTTTACTAAGGGATTTCTATGTACTCATTCATTCACTGTACCTGGAATGCATTATCTCATTAACCATCACAACCATCTCCTTGTTCAATTTTGTAACTTAGCTTAGTAAAGATAACTTCTCCAATGCAAAAAACGAAATGGCACAACTGGGCCTCAAATTGAAGTCTGTTTTTTAAGACCTTGATTTACTTGGTACTAGAGCAGAGCACAGCCTGAGTTCTTTTGCATCCTTGCCCCCAAGCCTTAACTCCTCACAGGTTCTCATGACTTCTGGCTCTCTTTTTGTTGTTCTCCTCAAGACAATATAGTGAGAGTGACCCTATCTTTCAATTAGAGTAGAAAGAAACAAGTGGCATAAATATGTAAAAATATTTACTTTGGTATAAGGTTTTTGTGTGTCTGTGTGAATGATCAATCATGTCCAGTGCTAGAAACAATGTAGGAAAACAGACGCTATGTACTGTTGACTCTATAAGTCAGTACAATATTATGGAACATAATTTTGCAATATTTACCAAAAGTTTAAAATAAAACTTTGATCTATCAACTCCTTTTCTAGAAATTTATCCCATGCAGTATGTTTGGAACAATTTGGGTATGTTTATCTACTTTTTCAACTGTAAATTTAATAAAATCTAAATCCAGATCAAGTATTTCCAATTAAATTTTATCATTCTAATTGAGATGTGCCATCAGTGTAAAATACACCAAATTTTGAAGACTCAGTATGGAAAAAAATGGATGTAATACACCTCATTAACTGTTTTTTGTATCTAGTACATGTGGACATAATATGTGTTATGCATTGTGCT